CGTTTAGTTTGTTGTTAAAGATCGTTTAGTTTGTTGTTAAAGATCGTTTAGTTTGTTGTTAAAGATCGCTTAGTTTGTTGTTAAAGATCGTTTAGTTTGTTGTTAAAGATCGTTTAGTTTGTTGTTAAAGATCGCTTAGTTTGTTGTTAAAGATCGTTTAGTTTGTTCATAAAGATCTCCTGGTTTTTGTTAAAGATTGTTTAGTTTGTTGTTAAAGATCGTTTAGTTTGTTGTTAAAGATCGTCCAGTTTTTTATAATGATCGCTTTATTTGTTCTTAAAAATCGTTTAGTTTGTTCATAAAGATTGCTTAGTTTGTTGTTAAAGGACGCTTAGTTTGTTGTTAAAGATCGTTTAGTTTTTTCATAAAGATATTTTAGTTTGTTCCTAAAGCACATGTACTTTTCTATGAAAGATTGCTTAATTTATTCTCATAAATCGTTTAGTTTACTATTAAAGCTCATTTGTTTTGTTCTTAAAGATCATTTAGTTCGGTCTTAAAATCGTTTAGTTTGTTCTTTAAGATCGTTTATTTTGTTATTAAAGATCGCTTAGATTGTTCTTAAAGATCGCTTAGTTTGTTTTAAAGATCGTTTAGTTTGTTCTTAAATGTCACTTAGTTTGTTGTTAAATATCATTTAGTTTTTTCTCAAGATCGCTTAATTTGTTCTTAAATGTCGCTTAGTTTGTTGTTAAATATTGCTTTCACTGAGTATTAAATGACCGAAAACCCTAGTCACTTTCGGCCGAAACCGAAGAAAAACCGAAAGTTAACTTTTCTCTTTCGGCCAAAACCGAAATTAAGCCGAAAGTTAACTTTTCAGTTTCTGCCGAAACCGAAACTTGGCCGAAAGTAATAAAATGGCCACTTTCGGCGCCGAAACCGAAGCCGTAGCCGGAGCCGAAATTCGGTCGGTCTCTAGAAACGATGAGGCTATCCTAACCGCTCCAATGCGGGTGCCAGGGCAGCCTTGAAACTCTCGATTGATGTCGGGTCCACGGCGGCATTGTCCAGTTGGTTCCAAGCGATTGGAAGAATGAATGTTTATATTGAACTGTGTTACACCGAGGCACAGTGAAGCATTTATCATTGTTCTATTTTTTAGTTCACACAACTTGAACGCACTCCTTCCTTTATTATCCAAAATAAGCAAATAGAGGAACAGTATTTGTTTAGCCTTGAAAACGAAACAAAAATGGCAATTACAGTTTTAAAAACCGATAACCTGAAATCCAATTTTTTTTTTGTACAGCGTTTAATATATTTTAATGTACTTATGTTTTTATATTCAACACCAGTGATGACGAAATCTGCAGCGAATTTATGAAAACCAAACCGCCAAGATGTTGAACGCCAAAAGACAAACTTCTTAATACATGTTTTTAATAATAAATGAGCTTCCAAATTTCGCAAGTGCTTTGGTCATTAGATGCCTGATGCAGCTAAAAACTGCTTTTCAGCACTTATATCGCCAGATATCATGTTGACTTTTATATGTAAACTTCAGACAAACTAACTCGCATATACTTTATATGACACATGATCATGTGATCTGATAAGAAATAACAGAGACTTCAATGTTAAATAAAATCATTCAATTTGACAGATCGATGGCCAAGTTTGTAAAGGATTTATAAAAAACTTCCTTGTATGTTTAACGTTTCCAATGAATCGAATTCAATAAATAATTATATTGAAAGCCTTCCTGTGTTCTTGGACTACTGTCATCATACCTTGGAAGTCTATACAATTATTTGACGCATGGGGTGGGGTGCCTTAAGAAATTGTACCTTTTGGCCAGATTCTTTTTATTACAGTAACAATTATAATACAATATTTTTTTCTTTTATTATAGTGTTTATTTCTTATGTTGAATAGCACATCTCTTAATTGTGTGAAGCTATTTTTGTCCAATCAAAATTTTAATTTACAGTATTATTTATTTTGGAATACCCTTTTGTAACTCTCTCTCTCTCTCTCACACACTCGCTGTACCCTTCTCTCTGATTCTCTATTAACTGATTATTTCTTATCTAATCTCTCTTCATTTTGTTTTGTCTACCCCGTCTCTCTCTCTCTCTCTCTGTCTCTCTGTCTCTCTCTCTCTCTCTTAGCCTCTTATGCTCTCTTCTATCCCTCTATGTGTCCACTCAATGCCTTCTCTCTTCTAGTCTCTGTCTCTCACTGTGACGATATATTTCCCTACCACAGCTTTAAACCAATTATCGTATCCTTAGTTCATAGTGTCCAATGAATGTTTTCTTAATCTTTCCATCTGAAGTCATTGTTGGCGTTATTTTTCTTTGTTATACAAATCAAAGGACCGAGCTTGTCAAGACTTCTATCAGTGTGTACGTCTTTATTTATGCTCGAGGTGTAAAGCAATAAATCAATCCTTTGGGCATTTAACCAAAGTGCCAGAGTTTCTTTTAAAATTATTTTGTCATTATTTTCTTTCATTGTTTCGAATGGATCAGAAATAAATCTGATCTCAAATGATAATACGATTGACAGACTGGCATTCTTTATATACATGACGCTTTCAGGCAAAGCTGTCGGGGGACTTTTGGAGGCCCCTCACTAATTTTCGGCTTTAATCCTTCTTCTTTCAAAGTTAATAGTCCAACAAAATTTCTAAATCACTACTGTACGGCCCTCAAATGACAGAGGTCGCCTGCAGCCTCAGGATTGCAGGACACGCGTGAACGCCATACTGCGGGAGATTAACTGATTGATTCAACTGGTGACATTTTAACAAAAGCCTTAGAGGAATTTTTTTTTAAATTGGTGAAATCTGTCGGAAATGTACATAAATATTTATCCAAAGGAAGGGTACAGTGACTGAAGAATGATTCAGGCAGGTAAAATACAACGTAATAAAAAAACTCGTCTTTGTAATCTGTTAATGGTCATTGCAAATATCAAGAATACAAGTCGAAGTCTCGTAGTAGGTGAAAAATCTACTTTGGCTTGCCCCTGAGAGCCGTTCGTCTAATTTGTGTCTTATAATTGACTGCTTGATACAATTTGATATAATAGAGCTTCAATGTTTTAAACAAAAATTTGCGAATTTCATTATGAAAACTGTGCATGCCCAAATTCAAATTCAAAATTGATAGATAATTTTGGTCATCGAAAAATCACAGATTCCCTACTTATGTAGACAAATAGTTTTTGATATGACACTAGATTTGCTATTAATAAAACAAATTACAGTATTGTCTGAGTGTTATCAAAGTATTGTGAAGAATGTTTTTTTTCCATAACCACCACGACGCTGAAAAGAAAAGAAGTGAAACTCAGCAGTTAAATCGTCAATTTATGCTACAATATATTTTAATACATGTTTTTGTAGTGGAGAAGCCAACTTAGGTTTGAATATAAAGTCTTAAATATGTGCAACTTTCAGTAAGACCGACAGAATTATTTCAGAACATAAAAAACTGTATAGTCTCATTAGCATCATAATTTATCTTTCATACATATAATTTTAAAAATAAGTACTCAATTTGCAGTTGAAAAACGTGTCGAAAAATGTTAATCAAACTAAATTAAACAATAAATATAAACAATGAAAAGTGTCAATTGGAAAACAGTCAGAAATAAAATACATAATAAAATAAATATTTTACTAATGAGGGCATTTCCCTAAAATTTCTGATTTGTATTTTGCCTTATCATAATTTAGGCTTAAAATAGTTTTATTTATTTTACAAAAATATTTACAGTAAAAACAAAATTTACAAAAAAAAGTGGGTTGCAAGGAATTTTGAGGACATGGAAATATTATAGATCAATTGTGTTCAACATTACAACTATCAAAATTGAAATTGATATTTCTCAAATAATTCATCATTTTAAACCTTATTACGTCATAAAATAAAAAATGATTCTTCATTAAAATGATTACTTTTTTACACTTTGGAAAAGTGACAATATTGAATTTAGTCTTTAGAACTGGAGTGAAACTAAATTAATTGTATTTATTTCAACATTATTTTAAAGCTCAAAGTGATGGTACTCCATTTGTTTATAAGCCCAGTTTGGAAGATCTTGCTGCCAGAGTTCTCTAATCTGTTTTTTCCAGTTTCTCTTGACTGTTGGTCTGCTTTTAAAATCCAAGTAATACCTGCCTACCAGGTCGTATGATGGCCATCCGGTAGGAATTTGTGTTAGAAGAGGTTGTTCAGGATTCCTAAAAGAATAAGTTATTAAAAATAATAGAACCATAAAAATATTCCCTTTTAGGCTAATTCAACCCAAAGTATAGGCATTGATTTGAAGGATTTCTGTTAAATTTCATTTTAAATGGAATGTATACATAAGCATAGGTCCGTTTTTTGTAGCGGTTAAACTTAAATTCTAAATCTTCTGAAAGGTAATTAGGTAGGAAAATTTATTCATTTCAATTTAAAATTTCGTCATATCTATTATTTTTTTTAAAATCGAATTTAAAAAATCTTACCCATTTAAAACAAAAGCTGCTACAAGAGAAGAAAATGATTTCTTTAATTGATAATCTTCTTCTTCAAATTCTCCTGTCACATATCGCTCGTAGGACTGACGTAAAACATCCATATCGATATCAAACAGATACAGCAAATCTAAATTATATATCATTCCATGAAATTCCTCCTTTAAGTAATCAGGGTAGTGATTGAAGTGAAGGAACCAGACATTGGTATGTCTTCCTCGCGCTATCGTGTCTAGAATGTCATAGGCTCGAATCGTGAACCTGAAATCTGTCTGCAGCTCAAGAATAGGGTCAAGGTGAGAGTTAGTTTGATACCAATACAACATTTTTGAAGCCAAATCGTCTGACAACCTCTCTGTATTCAATCAATTACGGATGACGACTTTTGCCCACGTTAAACTATAACCATTCCAAAACTTCAGGTTTTCGGCATCATCATCAATACTAATGTTTTTTAAATGTTGCTTTATAGTTAAAAAGATATCAGCCCAGTAAAAATGTATGTTATTTTCTATAGTTATGAAATATTTCCTATCATAGAAACCAATATCTTCCAAGTGAGGATCATCTTTGAGAAGAGATGGAATTAATTTAGGTATAAAATCCCCATCCATCACCGGATCAAAATTGGACCATGATTCCACGTGATCTTCATGAAACAGCTCCGTTTTGGAAGGGTCTAAAGTTGGCAAAGAGCGCAGGCATTGAATAATATCAAGCTTATCATTCAGGAATAAATCAGTTGCATTTTCGTCTTTCCAGCATTTCAAGGATTTGGCGAATTTAATGATCTCTTTGTCCGATTGTTCATCTGCTTTCTTTGGATACCACGTCATCCCTCCTGTTGCAAAAACCTTCGTGAACAAACCCTTTGACATTGGACTCAGTGCAAGACATTGCGCTTTTTCATTCCAAGCAACTGTGACGTCATCTGGGTCTCCACCAAATGCACCAATGTTATTTTTGACCCACTTGAGTGCGAGAACTTGGTCCCATAGACCGTAGTTTCCAATGGCATCTCCATTGTTGATAGCCAGATATCCAAACGGGCCAGTCCTATACTGTACAATTACAACTATGATGTCATGGTCAGTGACCAAACTTCCGGGATCGTAGCTAAACTCACTTTCATCGTACAAGGAAACGAGTACTTTCTTTTTGCTGTCAACTTGTTGATTTATGTCTTTGAGGAAAATATTTAGATAAAGGCAATCTTCTGATGTTGTCTCATTTGTTGACAGTCTGTCTATGCAATGAGGCTTTTGTTTTCTGGCATCAATCGTGTCTTCTAAATAATAGATTGCAAACATTTTCATACATTTATATAGCATGATTATTTTCATGTCATGGATTTGTTATAAATTGTATTGGCAATCTGATATTTAAAAATCATTTCATCCTATCTTTGTTATGAATTAAATTTTATCTAGTAATACATAATTGGTTAAGTTTCATATAATTCGTTGAATTTTATAAGTCAAATATTTGTTTATTTAAAAAATAGAAACAAAAATAAAATTGCAACATATTTTTTACACTATTCCCAGTTATGTTAAGTCAAAGCTCTCATGCATTCTTATTTGGATTTGTGTTCTCCATGAGAGATGACTCCATAGAACTTTATATTATATGTACCTTTTATTATTATTGTGGTCAAAAATTATTTTATGCGTTTTATAAAAAGTTTAAATCATCATTTAGTTGAAAATATATAATTCAATTAGCAATATAATTACCAATTATTATATGTAGTCTTTATATATACATGTGTGTCTGCGCTTGCGTGTATATTAATGTATGTGTGTGTTGCGTGTGTGTGCGTCTGATGTGTCTCTATTTTTTTAAATTCATGTACTGTCACATATCTAATATTTGGATATCAATGTTGTTTCGTAAAAATAATGTATTATTTGTGTTAAATAGAAATAACAGGACGTTAAGGAATTATGGGTGGAGAAGATATAGGAGTATTAACGGTCAAGGCGGTTGTCAAGGATTCATATATATTTGGCGCTGGCCATGTCTATTCCAGTTAGTGATCAATATCTAAATATTGATTTGTGAAGTGTAACGAAGAAGTAATAAATGTGATACCCATATTTATTGTGATCTTTAGAAACATTATTTTATGTGATGTGCCGTATTCAATCATTATATATACAGTGATGCAAATAGTTATTCGTGTCTTATTATCAACTATTAATGGACGACTGTGATTCAGGACAAGTAATGATACAAGTCAATCATTGCAAGTAACGTAATCATAATTAACATATATATAATATATATATATATATATATATATATATATGGTATGTTACAAATGGTCTCAGAAGCGGGATCCATATATAATATAAAAAAAATTCTTCATATGCTACAAACCCTTGTTTAATAGTTGATAATTGTTATTTTTAAATTTCTTAGATAATCTTTTCTAAAATTAAAATATTTTATATTGATTTATCTAGTTTCTCAATTAAATAGTTTAATATTAACGGGGTAAAAATTATGTGTCCATAAAAATAATGACAATATAGACACAGAACAATCGCAAATACTCTTACCTTGAATTGAATTGATTTACTCATACTCATGGGTTGATATTATTTTTTTTCAATGAAATCAATGTTTGATAATTTATATCAACTAAATAACATCTATAATGAAGAACATTTAAGGTATACAAAAATTTTATTTCACTAAAGAACACAAAACTGAAGCATTCAACTCACTTGCTTTGGGATAAGGTACTGGCTTGGCAAAGCGCAGCTGTCCTACGGGAGGCATGGCGTATCGGATGCCACGAAATGACCAAAGAGATTTGCCGTTAACAGCCTTGACCTTAAGTCCTCTCACCTTTCCTACATTTGTATCAACAGTATCATTTTCTTTGCTCTGTGTCACAACACCAGCGACTAAAAGAAACGCCATCAGAAATATCGAGGAGTTCATCTTATGTGCAATGTTCTGTAAAAAAAAAAAATGTTTCATTATTAAATGTAGTGGAAATAATTTTATACTTAGCACGTGATTGACTTTTCTATTTAAAAAAATCACAAATACAAGTTACTATTTTTTAACAAAATGCAATAGAATGTTAATGTTTTGATGGTACGCATGTTGTCGTTTTGGCAACTAAAAAGGACATATGGTAAGACAAATGATTAAAACTTCGTGTTATGTCTTTAGATACATTGACGGCCAATCTGTAAAAAAAAAAAAAAAAAAAAAAAAAAA